AAGAACCCTAGGGATAATCACGCTAAAATCGAGAGCGAAAGCAAATCAGGATCACGAAGAGGGAACACCAATATACCGGTAACACAAACAACGTTCAGAAACCGAGATTAAATTTACTCTTTCAGAAGAGAATTTGGCTCTCCGTCCAGAGAATTTATTGCCTCTACTTCAAATTGATAAATTCATTATTTATGTATACATTTTTAACTTGGGGTCTGCAACGTACTTTATTAGTATACAAGAAATACGAGAAATGAAATTTTATGTAGAGAGTTTAAATCGCAAAATTTGCTACTTAAACTAGTTAATAGTTTATACACCACACGAGTTACTCTGATCACCATTTGCACTGAAAAAAAAAAGTTCGGTATCATAACTAAATTACTGATTAATAAATCATGACAACACTACAGACATCCAAAAATCTTGGTAACCAAATTGATTATGGTTCAACTATAGACAGTAATTACTGGAACCAGACCAACAACCTAACAATACACAAACAATCAAACTAAAGAAAGACCCTGTGTTGCTGTAGATCCTCACTAAATCTTTACAACAAACTGAACTCCCAATTTTGTCTCAGCATTGATTACACTGATTTACACGAGCGCGCGAGAACTTAAATACGAATGTTAATCAAGGATTACCATTCCTAAGAGCACCCTTTAGCCCCATGCTTATACTGTTCTGCAATCCCTTGTTACCAAAACCGGTGTCTTGCATCATAGCCACAAATTCACTATAATCGATCAAGCCATCCTGGAAAAAGAAACGAAAAAAGAAAAGCAACTAGTAAGGTTTTCAAAATTTGCAGTATCCAAACAAGGAGACGTTTTTTGAAGGAGTCGAGAGAACATACATTATCCTTATCAACTTCACGTATGATTTCGTCTATGTGGGCTTCTCCTAGGCCAAATTCCTCACAAGCTTGTTGAAGTTCATCCTTTGTGATGTACCCGCTACCGTCTTTGTCGAAGTACGAAAATGCTGCAAACATATGGTCTTCTCTATGGACTTTATTTAGGTGCAACATGGCTGCAACAAACTCCCCGTAGTCTATGGTTCCACTGTTATCAACATCAGCCTGCATTATCATGAAAAGTCGTAATAATTTTCGTGAATTTTATTCAGGAGTGGGAAGGCTCTACTTGTAATGCAAACACTCGGTTAACCTCTCTGGTTTAGATAAAATTCTCATGGTTCAAGAACTTTCCCCTGCAGTTTCTTTTGGCTTAAATTAAATTTCAAAGGATGTAAAAGGGTTGTGACTTAAGATACAAACACTTTTTCGATTTCATCATCCCTCATTTAGTGTATAATTTGTTTTCCTTGAATCAAAGGTTCGAGTAAATCTTTACGCACATAGTTTTACTTTGATAAGATTGAAATGGCAACTAGTGTTGCTTCGAATACATGTATAGTCCTTTACTTCATTCTCTCTTCAGATTACAACTAGATTTGCACTTACAGCTTGCATCAAGCCCACTATTTCTGAATCTTTGAGATTCGCACCGACCCTCTCTAAACCAGTCTTCAGCTCTTCCAGGGTGATCTGCCCACTGTTGTCCACATCTATCATTTTGAACATTTCTTTCAGTCCGGCAATTTCCTCCTCCGAAAGACTCTCGGCGATAACCTACAATAGTCGAATAGTGTTTCCATCTTTAGTAAGAAACATCCCAGAGTTACTGGTAAGAGAATAAGTCTTGGAGTATAATACAATTTATTCCAAATTTTTTTTTTCTTTTTTCAGTAATGACACAAAAAGAAACCATACTTGCGAGAAATGAATACGACATATTCCACAGCCCATAAACAAATTTTATAAGTTGATATGTTAGTACTCACTCTGATTGCGATCTTCTTGAGTTTGTTCATAGCAGAAAACTGCTTCAGACGAGTCAGAACAGCCGAATCGAGAGGCTTATCTGGAGCTGCACCGTCGACTTGTACCCATGGATGGCCTGCAAAAAAACATGTCCATCACTTTTTATCTATCTGGAAATTTACCCATTCTGGTTATAGAATGCAATAACAACTTACTAGAAAATCTGATTCATAATACCGTTGTTCTTTTTCAAAGTAAATCAAACCCATAAGAAATAATGCATGCTCGATATCCATAAGTAACGTATATATAAAATGCATGCTCGAAGTTCAGAAAGGTTAGGGTAGTCATATAAATTACACTCACAAAGAACTTGATGAGCTGTGGGCCGCTTTTTCGGGTCTCGCACAAGCATTCGTCTGACAAGGTCTTTTGCACTATCAGATATGCTGGGCCAAGGTTCAGATACAAAGTCCAGCTCCCCTTTCAAAACCTGCTCGAAAATCCCCTGCTCCGTTTCTGATACCGAGTACACATTGGCATACAAGAAAATTAGACTTCACAACTGATTAAAAAAAAAAAGAAGTCTTGCCAGAAAGAAACAAGCTTACCGTCCCAAAATGGCGGAACTCCACATAACAAAATATAGATAATAACTCCAGCACTCCAAACATCACATTCTGGGCCATAACTCTTTCTTAGTACTTCCGGGGCCACGTAATATGGGCTCCCAACCACATCATGAAATATTTCACCTGAGAAGGAAAAAATTGCATTTGATCAAACATAAAGGAATGATGAAAAAGAAGGAATTAGGCAAAAACTGAGTGTGACATGTGTTCATACTCAATCATCTCTCAACATAATAATCACATAGGCAAAAACTACAAAAGGCTACAAGTGCAAAAACAAGAGTACCAGGCCTGAAAAAGACCGAGAGACCAAAGTCGATGGTCTTGAGCGGCGACTCCTCTTCCTCATTCACAAACAGGAAATTCTCTGGCTTCAAATCCCTATGCATAACCCCAAGCGAATGGCAGGCCTCCACCACGCCAACTATCAACCTCGCCAGCTCAGCAGCCTTTCTCTCTGTGTAGTGCCCCCTCTGAATGATCCTATCGAAAAGCTCCCCTCCCGAACACAGCTCCATAACCACATGAACGGCAACGGCATCCTCGTAAGCCCCCACGATCGATATGACGTTTGGGTGGCCTGCCAGATGGTGCATTATCTGAATCTCTCTCCTCACATCCTCCACGTCCTCCTCTGTCGTGAGCTTCCGCTTAGCAATAGATTTGCAGGCAAACTCCTTGTTACTCCCCTTCTCAACACAAAAGAAAGTTGTCCCAAACTGCCCCTGCCCCAATTTCCTCCCAAGACTGTACTTCTCCTTCAGAATCTCGGTTTTCCGCTGCAAGACTGACTCGACCTGCAGGCCCACGCTCGAGGCTCTCTTGATATGGGTGGGCTTGTTTTGCTTCACCCCTTCTGCCGGCTTACCCGTGTGATTCTCAGTTCTTGACTCTACATTCCCGGCCTTCTGGGGATCTACTGCTCCCGGAATCTTGATCGGAGTCGGAGGGGTGCTCTGCACGTCTGAGTGTGTCGAATCTGAGCCTTTGCCGCCCGAATTCACGGAGTTCTCGTTGTTGTTGTCGCTCTTGTTCTTATGCTTCTCCTTGTCCTTGTCCTTGTCCTTGTCCTTGTGGTGGCTGTTACTGGCTTCCTTGTCTTGATTTGGGGCCGGGAGGGTCTCCGGATGACGGGGTCTCCAGACAGCAGCCGTCACGGATTGAAAGAAACCATTGTTCCCTAATTTGTTAGGGCCTACGCATGTATTCCCCATCAAACACCTATGCAAAATCTCTAAAACTCACTAATCCTCGAGAATTTTCATCATCCGAGCAAAGCCCTTATCAATGTCATTCACCATATATTTGTTTTTCAGCTAGTGAATATCATCGTATCAATACACATTTTTCGGGACATCACGTCACCTTCCCAGATTCACGATCCCACCGGAAACAGAATAAATCTCGTCGACCTACCAAACAGCCGCCCCTACTGTGCCAAAAAAAAAAAATGATGAAATCTATTCACCGGTGAAAAAAGCTAATCGGAGAAAACCCGTAGCGAACGCGGCGACGATCAATCAAACTAACACCACAATTTGCAAGCCTCAAAATGATGAAAATTCGATGGCGGGCGTCTGTGAGTCAAGTGAATCGGAAGAAAGGAGGTGAAAGGATCAACAAAATGTAATATGTGCGTGTTAACGTTGTCATGCACGAGAGAAGAAAAACATCATGTGGAGAGCAGCGCGTAGGTTCCTTAAAACTCTGCACATTAATATCAACAAACCCTCTTCGTCTATATTAAGAATGATGACAAGGTTTGAAGCCTTCTTTGCTCAACACATAACCCGTACATTGCGGATCAGAAACGCCCCTACGTTTACTTTTGCAAATTTGGTTTAATTTGGTTAATTTTGAAAAATGTGGTATGATTAGTTGTTAGTATGTACATTAAAATAATATTTAAAATAAAATAATTTAAACTGATTAGATGTAAAAATAGGAGACGAGTGATGAGAAGTGATGAGTAGTATTATTAACTAGTACGATCCCGTGTACTATATGGGTACTTAAATATATTAATATTTGTACAATAAATAAGTAAAAACTAATTAAATTTTTTATTATAAATTATGTATAATGAATATACAATAATAATAACTAACTAACTAACAAAGTGATAAGTAATTCAAATGGTGCCCGTATTTTTACACAAAATTTGTCAAAAAAAAAAATTATTTTTTAATTATATATTTAAAATTATATATGGATAAAATTGATAACTTACAACTCCATATATTTGATCCGAATTTTTTTAAAACAAAACAATATTTATTGTATTTTGGTTTCATATTATATTTATAGAGTTAGTGTTTCTCGTCTATTAATTTTTCAAGTAATTTAAACTCATATAGTTTAAGAATTTAAAATATTAATTTACGCAGAAATATATTATTTTTAAATTTATGAAATATAAAATAATTACATTATATATAATTATGATATTCCTTTATATTTATTATTTCATACAACATAATAACATGAAACTTTTTATACATTATATTTTAAATAAAAAATATACTTTATATTATTTCTTAAAATTTGTTTGTCTAATTTTTGTTGTATTTTATCATGTTATTTGTCTTTCTTTTATACCCATATTAGGCCTTTCAATTGATTTCTAGTTCGTTTTGCAGTTTATTTCATGGTTTGCTTTATTTTAGTATTTCTTGTGTTTCTCGTGTGTTTTTTCGGTTTTTTTTTTCGTTTTTGGTGTGCAGGACGTAATACCCATGAGGAATAGATTTAGCCCGAAAATTGACCGAGCAATTATGGTTGTGTAGATGGGTTCGTTGGCGACATATAGGAAAAAGCGGAACTCAATTTCGAGGTCGGACGAGCTCAAACGAGCCCAAAACGTGAAGTCGCGTGAAACACATTTTTGGTGTGAAGGTCATAATTTTCGGGGGATTAGGATTTTAGGAATATATTTGAAGGGGAAACATAATTGACTAGAAGAGTTCGTTGGCGACGTGTAGGAAAAAATGACACTCAATTCCGAGTTCAGACGAGTTCAAATGAGGCCGAAAAGTAAAGTTGCGCGCAACAGATTTCATCGCCGCGACCGCGACTTCTTCTTCACCGCGGCCGCGGCGAAGAAAAACTGCCAGCATCCAGATTCAGCGCGAGAAAATGTAGTTTATCAATTCTGTTTTTGTATGTGAATTTCAAGAAAATGGCTTAAGAAATAGAAGGAATTTTGGTAAAACGAACAAAGTCGAGGCACGTAAGATACGCTCTCCTTAAGACGAAATAGCCCCGTATATTACCCACGGTTCACAGCTAACGCCTCCAAGATACAATGACTTTTGATTTTTGTATAGTGGTAACTTAAATACACAAACCTTCGGCAATACTTAAGTTTCGGAACTCCCAAGATAGGAAATAACACAAAGAACGCAAGATGAATATGAACTTTGTAAAAATGATGCAAAAGTTATGGAATTATTTGATGTCATGAATGATTTCATGTTAGGGGGTATTTATAGATGTAAGGAGGCACGTCCGAGAGGTTTAAGTGTCAAAAGACACATTTTGGGACGTGCCCGGACAAGAACGGATGTATCTAGTGGCCAAAAGATACCTTATGGTCACCAAGAGTTGCGACCCTTCGATTTCTGCAGCCAGTTGCGCGCCCGTGCCTCGCGGGCTCGTACGAGCTCATACAGACTCGGAATCGAGTTCAGTTTTTTCCTACTTGTCCCCAACGAGCCCCTCTACAATTCTAGCATATATAATGCATATTTATGGCTCATTTAATTTGTCCAAACATTTATTAAAATATAATGTTCGTGAACCCTACAACCTTTTGAGTTGTTTAAACTCGATTAATTAAAATATAACACTTAGAATTAATTTCTCATTCATATTAAAAAGGTTTTGAGACTTTTCTAAGTATTCTACTTACGAAAAATAGAATCTTTAAATCGGTACAAAACCAATTTTTTCTTACAATCCCCCACATGAATGAAATTAATTCATGTATGCAATACTTGAGAGTTCCAGCGAACCATCATTGCATCAGGATAGATAGCTTGTGGCTTTGAATCTTTCTTAGTGAAATACTATCGGATACATTAGCCGGTTAGTAGCACGATGCTTTGAACTTACCGGCTGTTTGTGTGCACCAACACAATAATACTCACACAGTAACAGCTCTAACAATTTCTTGTTCTCACGTTGTGTCCATTTCGGCCTTGGACCATATCTCAGTTTAGTAAGTGTTCGTTGAAGCAGCCAATTTACTTCTCACTTACAAAGGTGATTCTCCTATAAAGTGTAATCTGCCTTAGTCCACCCGTAGGTATAGAAATCATTAATAGTCCTTGACTTAACCTCACCACTTAGGCATATTTTAACACTTGACGGTTCTTGGGAATGGGTGAAACTTTCAAGTGTTTCACTGAACTGTCAAAACATAGTTTTCCCATTGAACCAAGGTTTCGGGATCTCCGATTCTCAAGGTTAGGTTACTGCTAAGACTGTTCTTATGTTGTGGATTTTAATCTCATTCCCCTAACCAACTTGTACATTTGATCTCGATTAATGCCTTTAGTAAGCGGATCCGCTAGGTTTTCCTTTGACTTCACGTAGTCAACCGAAATAAACCCACTCAAGATCATTTTTCTTATTGTATTATGCCTTCGACGTACATGTCGATACTTACCATTGTACAAGCTACTTTGTGCCCTTCCAATTGCCGATTGATTATCACAATGTATCATTACAGCGGGCACCGGATTTGTCCAGCATGGAATATCTTCAAGGAAATTCCTAAGCCATTCAGCTTCTTCCCCGGCTTTGTCCAAGGATATAAACTCGGACTCCATCGTGGATCTAACAATACACGTTTGCTTAGAAGATTTCAATGACACCGCTCCTCCACCTATAGTGAACACAAAACCACTAGTGGACTTGGAGTCTTTTGTGTCGGACATCCAATTTGCATCACAATACCCTTCAGGTATCGTTGGATACCTCGTATATGTTATTCCATAACTCAAGGTATGTTTCAAATACCTAAGTACCCGAATAAGTTCATTCCAATGGTCATTGCTCGGGTTACTCGTGAACCTACTTAGTTTACTCACAGAATATGCTATATCGGGGTGAGTACAATTCATCAAGTACATCAAACTCCCAATTACTCATGAGTATTCTAGTTGAGACACTGGTTCACCTTGATTTTTAGCTAAGTGTAGAGTTAAATCAACAGGCGTCTTAGCTGGAGGCTTATCGAATGCATTGAACCTCTTCAAGATGTTTTCGACATAATGAGATTGTGACAAAACAATTTCTTCCGAACTTTTAGAGATTTTAATCCCTAAGATTACATCGACCTTTCCCATATCCTTTATGTCGAAATTATTTTTCAACATTTTCTTGGTACTAAGAATTAAACCATTATTTTTTCCCAAGATTAACATGTCATCAACATACAGGCATACAATCACAAATGAATCGACATTACCTTTCATATAGACACATTTGTCACATTCGTTGATTTTAATTTCGTTTGACAACATCACTTTGTCAAACTTTTCGTGCCATTGCTTAGGTGCTTGTTTTAGTCCATAAAGTGACTTAACCAAGCGACACATTTTTCTCTTTTTCCAGGTGCAACGAACCCCTCGGGTTGTTCCATATAAATTTCCTCCTCGAGGTCTCCATTTAAGAAGGCCGTTTTCACATCCATTTGATGAATCTCAAGGTCATGCATTGCAGCAATTGCAATGAGAACACGTATAGACGTGATTCGTGTTACAGGAGAATACGTATCAAAGAAATCATATCTCTCTGTTTGCTTAAACCCTTTTACAACTAATCGGGTCTTATATTTATCAATAGTTCCATCAGCTTTATACTTCCTTTTAAGGATCCATTTACATCCCAAAGTTTTGCTACCCGGTGGGAGATCAACCAACTCCCAAGTATTATTGTGCATAATGGAATCAATCTCACTATTGATAGCTTCTTTCCAAAAAGGAGCATCCGGACTTGTCAAAGCCTCTCGAATGGTTCTCGGTTCGTTTTCTAACACATAAGTTAAAAATTCAGGACCAAAAGACTTAGGTACTTTTGTTCTCCTACTACGCCTTGGCTCATCCTCAATTTCTTGAGGTAGCTTGGCCTCTTCAAATGTCCTTTTTCTTGGAATTATTTCTTCCTTGTCTTTACGAGGAAAAATATTCTCAAAAAACACCGCATTTCG